TATATATATATAGTCTTTGTTAACCTTTGTAAAACAATATCTTTCTAAGTCTTTGTTACTATTAGTCCTTATTGGAATTAACCAGGGGCATAATCAGATACTTTAAGAATTGAGTAGGTTTCAAGAATCAAGTTCTCAAGAATAAACAACAAATATAAGTTGATGAAAACTATGAGAATAAGTTAACAAGAGTTGCCAATTTTTTTTGTATGGAATAGTTAATAAGTAACTAGTACCAAGTATTTGAGAATAAGTTGATTAACATTGTTGGTAATTTATTTACTTCATTCACCTTCAATTTCATATTTTTAAATACAGTAGTACCTGAGGATACAAACGCTCCAGCATACGAAATTTTCAGAATACGACATGAAATTTGAACAAATTTTTGCTCCACGGTACGAACAAAAACTCACCATATGACATTACATTAGTTCGCAGCACTATTTTTTATTCACTTCTGTTCATTGGTCTCACAAGTCAGTCCGCGTGTTTGCTTTGTCGTGGAAGAATCTCATTCAATAAAGGAAATCTTCAGATATTATCAGAAAGTGACTGATTTTATTGAAAAGAAACATCCCGAACAGGTTCACACTGGCTGTAATTGCTGCTCAGAGTAATGACATTTGCATAAGTCATTTTAGAAACATTTTAAAAAGTAGGCAAAGCCAAACCTCTTTGGATAGATATTTTACCAAGCGGCCTCTATCCAGTGAAAGTGCTGGTGCAAGTGAAGGAAAGAAAGCAAAAAGCAGTGAATAAAAAATTTTAAAAGATATATAAAACAGAAAAGTTAAAAATTAGTGTTAAATTATTTTTAAGTTATTGTTACATTATGTTATGTAACTTATTCCCTTCTCCCTCGCCTCTGCCACCAGTTTACAACTCCACTGTCGTCTATCCTCAAAGGTAAAGTGTAAATAAAACTACATTTTTTTTTATCAATTATTATTCTATTATGGTTATTTATACATTTATTATGGTTATTTTTTTCAATGTACTACTTAGCTTTAATTTGAGTGTGTTTTTCGTGTTGGAATGGATTATTTAGTTTTACATGTAATCATATGGGGAAAAATGATTCACCTTACGACATTTTCATGATACGATCTCAATTTCGGAACGGATTAATTTTGTATCCTGAGGTACTACTGTATTAAGTTTAAATATAAAATTTGAATGTTTTATTTTTGTAATAATTTATATTCTGACTTCCAAACTTGAAAATGGCAATAAAAATAAATTGAAACTGTGTGTAAAAGTAGTTTAATAAACAATTTTTGTCAGCAAACATTAAATTCTGCAGTACAATTGTTAAATTTCTCTGCTGAGTTATATTGTATTGTTTGTAATTACAGAGATTGAAGTTAATGAATAATCTGAGTATTAAAATTCCCCAAGTAGTCGAATCACAATAATTTAATCTTTGCACTATTGTAATGTAATTACAATTTCTGATAGCAGAGTGAAGTACTAGTTCTTAGTACTTTAACTGGTTTGATTGCTGTCATATGAGCTCATAAGGATCACATCCAAGAAATTTTTAAAATACCGAGAACAACAAGAACATTTTAAAATCAAACAGATCTCAATTTTTGCATTTGAATATTTCCCTATTTTGTTGTGATTGCTTCGGATTAATTTGGATCAAGCCTAGTAATAAAATTTTTTTCCATATAAAGCAATTTTACTATATAAAAATGAATGCAACTGTGTGATATTAAACTATACCAGAAAAAAAGGGAAAAAAAACAAAAACCTGTTCAAAATATTTGCCAAATCTGTCGAAATCTTCCAAAACGAAAAAATTTTAGTACAGTGTAGTCTGCATAAACAAGATTTGTGAAATTATATTTCATAAAGACAATTCTAATAGAGAGAATAATGCTATACACACAGTGAGATAAGATCATAATAAAAACTTCAAAAATTAGGCCAGCCATATAAGCCGACCAAATAAAATTTAGAATGAATATTTTTATATTTATATCAAAATATATATGATATGAATATATATTTAATATATATATTTGGATTAATGAACTTTCTCACATTTCATTCTTACTACATATGAAAATTTTTTAATTCAAAATTAAAATGTGCATACTTAATCAAATATTAATTAAAATCTATTAAATAAATTACTTACTAAGAAACTATATAAAATAATATAATTTATGATTATTTATACAATGAAAGTATAATTTGTTAATTAATAGATTTTTAAAGTTAAAATTGAAGACCAAGTCTGTAGGAAAAGCAGTCATCATTTATTCACTTTCGCTGTTCCAGAATATAATTTTTAACAACTGAACGTTATTTATAGGCTGCTTTGACTACCAAAATTTTAAAAACTTTTCTTTTAAAATTTCAGTGAACAAAGTAGCCTATAAAGAAAGTTCAGTCGTCAAAAGTTGTATTTCTGAACAGTGAAAGTGAATAAATAATGACTGCTTTTCCTACAGATTCGATCTTCAGCCTTAATTTTAAAGTTAATCATCATTTGGTAAAAAATTTTAAAAACTGATACTATATTTTTTAGTTTAAATAAAATTTATAGTTCAAAGAGATAAAATGTTTTAATATGACTTATATTTAATTCCATAATTTATTATAAAATATACAATATTTCAAAAATGAGTTATATAACCCAAAAGATAATTTAAGATTAAAAAGTAAATATAATATATAAAGTCAGTTTTTAAAATTTAATGATGTTTATCAATTGCAGTGTTAAAAGTTTTGATGTTACTGAAAGAAAGTAACTAGTTAAAAAATTACAATTAAAAAGATTAAAATTAAAGTTAAAATTTAAAAAGATATAGTTTTTTGTAAATAATTATTTACAGGAAAATTTATCTAAATTACTTTTATTGTTCAAACTGTATTTCTATCTATAAAATTTAAGAAAGAAAAATGTGTAAAATGATTAATGAATCTAAACTGAACCTTTATTCCAGTTAAAATCCTTCTTTGATATAGAATTGTTAATTCAAAGTTTGTATGTCATTAAAATTTCTTTTATATTGGATAATTATAATCGAGGTACCTCTATTCAATACACTCTAGAGAAATATTTAACAGTCCAATTTCAACCAAATCTGGTATAGTAACATTTTAAGACATGCAAAATATATTTCCATATAAAAATTAATACCAAAACTCACCACTATATCACTTTCGGCACTGCAAAGAACAAAAAAGCAGTTTCCTTTGCATAAGCACATGTGTTGAAGCCAAGTTCTGAGTATAAAAGTGATTTAAATTTTAAATGCTATTCTTATTGGCTGTGATGACCATCATGTTGCTGAAATGCATATTTTTTGTAAAGCTGCTTTATAAAAATGATGACAATACTGTGACTTTATTTCAGGAATTTCACTATTGTAAGAATTTATGCCAAGATCAGACCATCATCTCCACAAGTTTTCAAAAAAATGATCTGTCAATTTGAGAAAACTGGATATCTGATAGTTAAACCAGATCAAGGATGCAAACCTTTCACTTCACAAACTGTTGAAGATGTTAACATTGTTGAATAATATTGCAGACTCCAGCAGTGCATTGTATTATTATGGCAATTGAATGTATCCTGTCATAGAGTGGATGTACTGGTTGTGAGTATCAGCACAACCAGCAGTTGCTTGCCACTGACAGGAAAACACAACTGACCATTTCATTGACCTTCCTTGCATACTGCATACAGCAGGTTTTGGGATATTTTACTAATAACAAAAAGATTAGTCATGTGTTTCCTAAGCCTAGCTACCTAATCTCTGAATTTTAATCCATGTGATTATTGTTTGTGAAAACACTTAAAAGTATGATTTATTGAAGACATGTTGCAAATTTGGCAACCTTGAAAGACTATCAAACTGCATATGAAAAGCATCATAGAAAATCAATTATAGTCGACTATTGAACACACTGTTTATTGCCTTCAGATTTTACATATTTAGAATAGGGATCACATTTAACAGTGTTCCCAGCATCACTATATCTCTGTATAACATGAATATTTTGTAAAAATTAAATATTTATTCCTTGCAGTGCCAAAAGTATCACAGTCTTTCATATCTTCAGGGCAGAAAGAGTAAAAAATTACCAGTGTTAAACTTTTATTTTTATTTTTTCAAACTATCTTCTGTGTATACTGAAATATCACCATACCATAGCTGGTTGCATTTGAATGTCTAAATATCTCTCTAGACACTACTGAACAGGGGTACTTTAATTACAATCACCCAGTATATACAAACATTTAAACCAGGGCTGTCCAACCTGCGGCTCTGCATTGTAATGAATGTGGCCAACATAAAATTGTAGCCTAAACTTCCTTAAAACACCGAGATCTTTATTTATGTACTTATTTTTTAATTTTTTGAAATTTGATGAGCATTGTAATACCTCGTCTTTAAAAAATTGTCACAAGATATCATTAGTATACATTTATGGTCTTTAAAAATATACATAGGATGAATTTCCTAGTAAAGTTGCTTAAAACCGTTTTATTAAAAGACAGTTGAGCTATTTCCACTTTAAGTTAGCTGCTGCAGCACTAGTGTAGGGAGATTCCTAAGCACTGAAGACAGAAGGCTGCCACCATAAATTATATGCATATTATGTACTGTATATTCCTCATATACCTCAAATGAAAAGATTTGACTACTTTGCACCAAAATGGACTACTCTTTTTTTTAGTTTGGCATGCAAAAATTCATTTGGTGCATTGGCTAATTTTTGGGCTACAGAATTTTGAGTTGGCTACATTTTTGGCTACATAAATTATTTAATCGTTTGTTTCAACCTAGAATGGCAAATATACTCATGTCACCTTTACATAGTTTTACAGTTTATGTATGGCTCAATACAATTTTTTGTCTTCAGATGAAACCCAAGGAACAGGTTAGACACCTCTGATTTAAACCAACATACTTAAATAATGAGTATTTTCATAAATAATAATAAATTTTATTCAGAACATAAATAGATAAACATACTTGTAGTCTGTTTGAAGAGAAACTATATGCTGATACTAAATTATGTCCTCCAACATTCTGAGGTGCAAGATATATACCACTTTCAAATTTGGAAAGACGATTAGGCCGAAGTTCTGGACTTTTATCTTCTAAGAAAAAGAAAAAATATTCCTGTTTTTCATTTATAGAAGCAGTTTTGTAAAAAGAAGAGAAAAACAGAAGAACACATTTTATAACAATTTTTTAAAAATATTACCAGAAGAAGAAGAAGAAGATGATTTGTCTCCTTGTAATTTTCTATCAGATACTGAATCAATTTCCTGATTTATTAACCAATAAAATTCTGTTCGCTTATCTTCTAGCATTAAATGCCATTGCTGTTCATTATTAGCTGTAATCTTTTTAAAAATATATTGTTTTATGTTAATAAATTAAAATAGTGTAGACAAAAATTCGTTTCTTTAAATACTTGCCAGAAGATAAGTTGTATTATGATGATCATCATGAAGTAAATCTAGATTTTTAATTCCTATGGTAATATAAGTTCCACCAATTTCTTTCTGAGTCTTCATATTAATGAAGGAAATCTCACCATGCTGTTAAGTTAAAAAAACTCATTAAATATAAATTAATTATGTACAGGTATTCCCTGCTTAATGTTTTTCTGGTAGAATGCCTTTTAGTTTTTAATACCCAAACTTCATAAAATGCACATAAATCTTAATAAATTGTTTTTGGGTGATGTTTCATAAGAAAAATTTATATGTATGTCCCAAAAATTTGATACATATTCAACAAAACAATATACAAGTTTTCTGCAGTAGATGAAAGTAGTGTTGCTATAAAACCTATCATAAGCTAAATTGACATAAAACAGAGAAGCAATTACTATTAATTTATATAGAAAAATTTCTTGAGAATTCCTACCAAAATTAACCTACCAAGTCACACACCAAATACTGTAATACCAGAATATTGTAAAAGTGGGAAACAATGTGATAAATACATAGCCTATATAAAGTAGAAATGTATATACTATGTAGTTTCATTTACCAGAATCAGGAAGGCAGTGAGCACACTTAAAGGCTAAGAGATGGTAATGGTAGAAATGATACTGTGTTAGGTTGAGTTGTCGGAGACTGAAATGATGGGAGGTACAGGAGACTGAGGTGTAGCATAGAACTAAATGTCAGACACTTATTTTTATACCCATGGATTGAGTACATACTACTTGTTTTAAAAGATTACATGTACAACATACAAAATCATCAATAAGCAAAATTATATAATTATAATAAATTTTTACTAATGTATTTCGTTATTTTTAATTAATCATTCTGTCTAATGATTTATTATTTTCAATCTTTAACAGATCAATTTTGCAAATCAAACATTTTAAAATAAAAATTGATAATGTGAGGATTCCCCAAAGTTATCTGTGGCCCCAATATCTGACTATTGTGACAATATCAGAATATTATCAGTCAATACTCTTTTTGGAGAAAGCATTCTGACTGCTTATAATGATGCAGAAATAAAATACTGTATGTGGGGTAGTATGGACACTGAGGCAAAACATTCTCAAAAGTGTTCAGTGTTTATTTGATAGAGGGAATTCTTACAGAGTACGGTCTTCTCTGTATGGTCATCCAAAATACATTATTATTTTGTGTTGTATTGTCCATATTGTTGTGTTCAAAAAGTAATTTTTTTAATCATTTTACAGTTTAATGTAATAATTTTATCTTATTTGTTATGTATTATATTAGATTTAGATGTTTTTGAAAATTAGTTGAAAGTTATGAATTAATGTTGTAAAGCCTTATAATCTTTCCCATTTAATATAATGAAAAATAAGCTCCTGGTTAATGTTTTCCTGCATGAATCTCTGATTTTCATCAATAGATTAACTGATGTTAAGCAGGAGGATGCCTGAATTTGTGTTTTATAAAACTTTTGAGTATTTAGGCATGTTATATATTTTTATACTTATAATAATAATAATAATTAGTATTATGAACTGAGTTGTCTCAACAATGCATGAATTTCAAGTTATATCTTTTGCTGTATCTTATTTAATATAATCATTAAAAATTATTTATTTATATTGCAATAATAAATATGCTAATATAAATAAATGTATTTAAGAAATGACTGCTTTGTTAGACTTATTATTTCATTTTAAGTTTTTTGTGATAAAGAAAAAATCTCAAATCTATTTGAAATTTTTTTCTATCTTTTTTTTAATGTTTATATTAATTTATGTTAATTTATATTTCAAAACTTTTCTTTCAAAAAATATAATCTTTCAAAGGCAAATAGGTATGCTCAACAGGTACAACATAAAATACAACATAAAATATACCAAAAATCATAAAAAATCATGGAAAATGCAACAATTGTAAAACTCATTCATTATTTAGGTGATCGTTTGGTGATGTTTCTATAAACTCATGATTAGAAAGAGAATAACATAAATATTATTGTCATTTTAAATATCACTTAATAATGATAATAATTTAAATCTTCAATGAATATTACTTTGTGGTTACAATCTCCTACTAAACTTTATTTTTTTAGAGGCTTAAATTAATATTTCTTTGAATAAAATTTTTTAATTAATATTTTATATATTTAGAATTATTTGAAGTTAACAAAAATGATTGATATAATATAAGGATTACCTCATTTCCTATAATGGCAACATGTTGACCTTGAAGAGTCTCCCACCATTTGATAGATGTTGGCATTGCTAAAGCAATTTGAAATATTAATTTTATTGATTAATTTTTATTAATATTTCATTTTTTATAAATTAATTTTAAACAAATATGGAATTTCTGTATTATATGTATATACATAAATAAGTGAATAATAAACAAATAAATTGAATCACATTAACTCAAGAATGATTGTCCTTTCTTTGACAGCAATTTTCAAATTAAACAAGAATAAATTTTTGTCCTAACAGAATGATGTACTACTGTTTACTATATTATATAGGTTACATTAATTATTATCAGTATTAAAAATACATAACTTACCTCTTTGGCCACTTAATTTAATTTCTGTGATGTCGTCTGTCTTCCATAATGTATTAATTTTAACTGTATGATCCTATAAATTATTATTAATAGAAAATAAATTAAATAAATAAATTATAAATATTTCATGTAAAAGTTTAGATAGTTTTATATTCAATTATCAAATATATACTTTACTAAATTTCTGAAAAATATTAAAAGTTTCATATGAATACTATTTTAGAATAAATTACAGTTAAATTTACTAAATAAAATACTTGCCATATAAGAAAAAACAGGAAAAATATATAATGTAGAATCCACAGCAGCTAACAATAACCAATTTCCATTTGGATCAAAACACATTGCTTTGATTAATTTACCTCTATGACCGTACCATTGTAATTGGCGTATCACAGGCTTACTGGCAGTATTGTTGGTATAATGAAACAATAAATAACCTGTTTGAAAAATAAAACATTATTTAACATATTATAATTAATGAAATGCAAAGAAAGTTCTTATTATATAAATATAAATAAATTTTTGATTTTACCATTATCACAAAAAAGTGCTAAGATGCTTTTCTCTCCTATTTCAAGAAAAGTCGAAAGTAAAATATTATGACCAGTAGATTTTTTATGAGATTTTATGGTAAGAATTTTACTGAATTCAAATAATGAATTCATAATTGAATGAATGAATAATCCCTCAATTGTCACATGCCTAAATTAAAAAACATATAATTAGTATGTATATAATAATAATAATTTCATAATTTTAAAAATCAAATTAAAAACTTTTTTATTAATTTCTTTTAAAATTTTTGTAAAATATTTTAATTCTTAATACCTAATACAAGTAGACTGTGTCATTAAATCCTAATTATCAAATTGAAATAAATAATTAAAATTCCAAAAGCATTTGTCATTTTCAAATATTACATAAAATTCAAAAAGATAAACAAGTTTAAGTTTTAAAAATTATCATTGATTTAAAATAAGATTTCAGTTAGAAATTTGTTTAACTACTATATTACTATGATTTCTTACACTTTGTTCAAAATTTAATATCTATAAATCACATTCTATTGGATAGGGTTTTGTTAAATTAATAAATTCCTTTGACATTAGTTATCTTATACTTGAGACCTAATACAACACATCTCAATATCAAAATGTCAGCCTGTATTATAAGTGAATCCACATTCTACTGAAAAAAACATATTACGATAGATAAACATATTAGCAACTGATCATTCAATATATATGTAAAAATGCATTATCATAATAGTGTATATTCTTTTGTATACTTCATTTTAATGCATATATATAAAAATAATAAATTAAAATATACTGGTATTCTATAAGATTGCACACCTATGGCAAAATGCATATTTTTTGCTAAATTTAGTGTTAATGAATATAATAACTTAAGTAATGATTATAAAATGTTGAACTAACATTGCATAATCTTGTAAAGAATTGCTTTCATCCATATTTTACAGTATAATATCATCTGCTAATATAAATGAAATATGCATAGTAAATGCTCACTTTCATGTCAGCTACTGGTCATGCTGTTTGAGCTTGTAAGCATTGTGTCCACACATCATAGACTTACTGTACAGTTGTACAGTAAGTCTATGATATGTGAGTTGACACTTAGAAAGAAGAAATGCATCACAGTTTTACACAGAGAAGGATTACTTTACACAAACTGATCAGAGACTGAATTATTCCTATTCCACTGTTAGATGTCACACTGCAAAGTTTTGCAAAGTCCAAGCACAATTTCAAGACAAGTATAAGCAACTGACAAACTGGTAAAATAAGTCCTTTTTTTTCAACTAATAAAATTATAATCATTAATAGAAGAGTTTCTAACATAGAGATAAAGTTAATATACTTCATAATTGTATTAGAATGAATGGCACTAACCCTAAAAAATAAATACACAATATAAAGAGAGATGGAAGCCAGAATCTATAAACTAATTAAAGGAAGCATGTGTATAAGGAAATTTTGATCTTGTCGCACTCGAAATTAAAACATTTTGTTCTTGTAAATGTTAGTCAGTACTTGTTATATCAAATTCCCATATATAAAGTACTTATAAATCAGGTTATACTGTAATAGCTGAAAGCATATTTGTGTAATATCCATATTAATATTGTATATGTATTATATCAATTGAATATGATATGTATTTGATGATAGGTATAATGAAAGGAATTACTGCTAATTTTAGAAATCTATCTTTTATTAATTAAAAGAAATGTTTTCAGTCAAGATTTGACCATCCTTAGCTTATAATCTTAATATTTAACAGCATTTATTAATACATAGGATGCATATGAAATTGGTAATGCATTTATATGGTTGATAAATTTCATTAATTTCTCTTCTTTCTATAAGAGGTTAACGAGAAAATTCATCTACAATAATTACATTTGTTCTTGAATTTGTACAAAATTTTAGGTTTTGTTGATTTTATTTATTTATTTGTAATGTTTATTTTATTTTATGTAATTTCACATATTCTATTACATTTGTTTTGAATTCAAAAATTTTAACTCTTTAGAATGTTAATTTTGAATGTATTCCATTTTGTATATTCTACATCATATTATCCTAAACTGTTAAATATTAAGATTGTAAGATGAGGAATACGTGGTTAATCAGATTTCAACAAAATACTTCTTTTAATTAATAAAAGTTGGCTTACTGAAATTAGCAGTCATTTATTCATTTCTTTACAAGGATAATGCCAAATTTTATAAAGTTCTATGATGTGTATAATTATTATATAAACACAATAAGGTAGAAATATTTATGGGGCTCTGATACTCTGATTTAAGAGTATAATATAAATATTTACTGATTTTTCACTTAAAATTAAAGTTTTTAAAATTTAAATTATAAACTTTACTTTTAAACTTTTAAAAGTAATCATTTCAATTCAGTTACAACTTGAATTTAAGTGAAAAAAATCAACTAAACCAAGTTTCAGTTTAAACATGTAATGCAGCTATAATAATATAAATAATAAAGTTAAAAAAAATAATGTGCACTTTATCATAAATATTATTTCATCAGTTTTAAATGATATCAGAGGTTATTATTTCTGTTGTGGTTTGTTATCACTTATCAGCTTTAAAGGATTAAACAGTGTATAGTGATATAAAATAATAATAATTTAATTTAGATTGTTAATAACAGCTATTGAGATAAAACAGCTACAATGTAAACAGAAAAATCAACATTTCAAAATACAGTAGAGCATCGATTATCTGACCTCCGATCAACCGTCACATTGGTTAACCGACCGCGTTCTAGTCGGCAAATTCAAATGTCCGCTAGTAATGTGGCGCTACAATATTTGGCTACGTCTTGGCTACTTTAATAGTATTTTTACGTGTTTTAGTTTTCAATGCCGGCTTGACCATGAAAGGGAGCCAGTATTTAAACGAGGCTTAATTTTCTAATTTTTAATGATACAATAGTGACGATTATTATTTAAAAAAAATTTTTGTTAGGCTTAACATCGATGAAAATTCAACGCGAAGTACGTTAATAGCGATATACTAATTGCATGGGTACATGGGATCTCTGAAACAGTAACACGTGNTAATTATTTATCGATTTTATTATTAAATTTTATAAAGTTTATGTGATAATTAAATTAGAAAATAAGCTGAGATATGAGATACTTATCATGATAAATCTTTTTAAATAAAATTAGTTCAGGTTACGGCACGACTCACTCTGTAAGGAAACTAGTTATTATTTTTTTAAATTTAATTCTATTGATTTTCATTAAAAATAAATGACATATCTAAGTTTTCTATATAAAAAGTTACATAAGTTATATACAATGATAAATACATTTTAGTGCTTGATAACATTACTAAACAGTTTTATTTTTTTGATAAACTGGTTAAAGTAAAATTATCATTTAGATAATAAAAAAAAAGTGAAACAGTCTGTTCTACTTGTTTATCATTTTCAGCTTTGTTTACTATATATTATTTACAAGTAAGGTTCTTTGCTCTTGTCCTTTTATCGTGCAGATGTATACAGATTAAACAAATTCACGTATCAAATTCACGTGGACTAATCAGCTGAATTTTTAGGCTGAATATTGACAAAGTATAATTATTGCACTTTGATACGTTGTTTTAATATATAATGTTTTAACGTTGTGTGCTTAGTTATTAAAGCACAAAGCTTTCTGTTTTGTTATTATTCATAAACAGAACATAATTACGTAATAATGCTTAAATGTGGTGCTTAAAATATTATATCACATCCTTCTTAAATTTATTGTCTTTCTGTTTATTAAAGTTATTTCGCGTCTTTTAAAACAGGTGACATACTTTCATTATCTTTGCGTGCCTTTTATTCACTAGAACGATTCCATTAACTGGGCGAAACTGAATTGATGTGGATTTATCTTCATGCGTTTTTTTTTAATACTGTATAGCCTATATTTTCTTGTAAAAAAAATATATATTTTTTTTAATTATTTAAGTGTTTCAAAACAGATTCTATTAGTAATTACTCAAATTGTTGGATATTTTTCCTCTCTGTGGCACTTGCCATGATCCCATCATGTGATGGGTCATTGAAATTCTCAGGAAACAATCTATGGCTAGGAAAAAAGTTTTTACAGCTACATAAATTTGACATCAAATAATAAAAAATAAAAAAGTGAAATACAAACAAAACAAACATTAAACATTTTTGTACTTAAACAAAATTTCTGATTTTTTTAATTACCATTAACTTTATAATTTTTATATGTATAATAGTTAAGGATAATAGAGCTACTACTATTACTCAGCTTAATTAATGTACCTTTAACAGTAGTAAAAATTTGAATAACACAAATGATTTCACCTTCAACTGTTCACACCTGAAGATGGCTGTTAGCTCAACCAAAAACATTTGTGTTGTTTAAATTTCACCACTGTTAAAGTTGCATTAATTATATCCATAACTTTAGAAAAATAGGAAATTTGTTAAAAATTGTCATATAATGTCATTTTTGAAGCTGTTGAAGAAAAATATTTATCTAAAATCAAGTATATTAAAACTATAAATTTACACTTGCATGCATAAATTTGTAGTTTACTTATGTAAGTTACTCTTATAAGTTATTTGTTTTAATAATTACTATTGTTTACAATACAATAATATCATTTATAGTTATCAATGCATCATGAAAAATTAAACAGTAAAAAGTTAGTGTTTTAATTTTTGTAATGCAATGATAACTATAAATAATAATAAACAAATTACTAGCTTATGAATATTATTCATTAGTTTAAAAGTCAATGAATATCATTCACATTAAAAATACATAATATTTTCTACATTTTCAGAAACATAGTAACGAAACAAAAACACAAAAATTTTATCTTTATGCTAGAGTAACTGTTATTCACTTAATAATTACTAATACATAACTGGTTTATTTATATTTCAAATGGAAAAAAATTGTGAATGTTGAGAAATAGCTGTTATTTGTTCTGTAATTTGAATTTCAAAATGGTATCTTAAAGTAAAATAAAGTAATATCCCTCTTGAAAATTATATCATATTTATATTTATATATAACTTTCTGTCCTCCAGAAAATGATATTACATTATTTTTCAATTAATTTTATATTCAATCTAATTTTTGCTACATTATTAATTTGATTTATGTCTACAGTTCAAACTCTTAGTCAATATTTCATAAATTCTCTCAGTTTAAATGCAGTCTGCTTCAATTGAGTTTAACACGTTTCCATAGACAAGAGATAAATGATGCATCTAGTAATTTAAATCTATGATTATATTGCCGAACAATCTTCCAAATTATCTATTTGGTTATATTATTAAAACCCTGCGGAAGTTGAGCTGTCAAAACTATCAAGTGGGGTCACGGTTTATCTGTTAGATATAATAAAAAATTGCTTTGAAATGTGTTGGTTGTCAAAAGTTTAAATGAAAAACATTTATTACCTTTCTAATCAAAATGCTAAATTTTTTTAAAATCAACACAAAAAATATTAATTTTGAACAGAGCTTAATAAAAATAATTAAAAAAACAAATTGACGTAAAAACTGCAATAATTGAGTTACAAGTAGCTTATAGCAGAGTCAATAGATACACTGGTCTCACAGCTACCAATAGCTATAATGCTATGAAATTAGCTTAATAAAAATTTCTACCACTGAGTGTGCAAAAGTTTGGCTCAAGTAGTTAGAGTTAGCTGTAGACATTTGAAATATTTATTAAAGATTAAATTTTTCTTGTTTTTGATCTGATATTACTCTTGTTCTTTTTAAAGGATTGTTTCTAAATACTATTTTAATTTGGTTTCGAACATTATTTATTCATAAATGTTGCTAATATCACAGAATTCTATTAACTGTTATTTTTGCAATTTTAGACTTTGATTTGGTTTGTTTTTTTGCTCACAGTTTCCATTCATTTTGAAATATTTTTGGGAGTTTTCCTAATGACAAGAAAAGATAGTCAAAAAATTGTAGTTAGGCCTATCTATACATTATTAATATGAGATGCCCTCAGGATTTCTGTGAATTTTTTTCTGAGTCAGGAAGAAAGGAGGGGTTGATAAGAATCATATAAATTTAATTATGAAAATGTATAGAAATGTTCAACAAAGTGTTAGGATAGATAAAAGTTTTACAAAAGGGGGATTTGGAGTTTATCAAGGTTTAACTTTAAGCCCATATCTTTTTTTTTTATTATTAATATTCGATAAATTATTGCAGGAGTCAGTGATAAAAGTGTTGTAGTATGTTATTCACAATTGATAATGTGTTTTTTAATAACATTTATAAGATAAATAATTAAAATTGAGTCAGAAAAAGTTAAGAACAGTATAGAGAGAGAAGATTCAAAGTCAGTAAGGAAAGAGAAGAAATTAGACTTCAGCTTAAGTTAAAATAAGAAAAATTCAATTTTCATATTTACAAGCAGATAAAGAATTAGGCATTGATAGAATAAATGTAAGATGGCAAGAACTCAAACAGTGCTATTAGATATTGACAGCAATAGCAATGATATGGAATCTAAAAGACAAGTCATGTGATTTTTAGTCATATATATATAATATTAAGCCTATTTATAAACAAAAAAATATGTCAGTAGGCTATCAATAGATCTGCATTTATATTCTGCTTTTGATAACAGAGAATATCTTATAAACGACCAAAATATGTAGGCACAATGCGAATGTAATAAGAAATGTAATTTTATATGTCAGAAATACAAAAGTACATATCATCCCAAATACTGCTTATCACTGTACCGAATCGAGCAAAAAAATAGCATTTTATTAATACAATCAATAAATTTGTAGATTTAATAGAAATAACTTTCATTTTGGAGGAATATTAGTTATAATTATCTATACACACTTTATCAGGTTCTCTATAAAGCATTAAATTACAAATGGTAAACATAACTAACAACAGATCAATGGATACGATATTTTTATAAAACTGAACATATAAAATTAATTGAAACGAATGTTAAATCTTTTAACTTTTAATTGAAAATTTTCAATTTTTCAAATGAAAAACATATTAACTTAGCAATTCCGACAACAGGATCTTATACAAAATGCTATGTATCGGGAAGGTATCGTACCAACGAGTTGCACATTTTATGTCAACGGGAGGAGTCTAATGTGAAATAGTGCAGCTAATGATTCAAAAAACTTTTAAAATGGGGCAATCAAAAAATGAAGAGCTCAACAGCCGATTTATTTTAACTCCCATCTTATTTTATATACTTACAAACTTCATACTTTATATATATTTAAATTCTTTCATTTGTATAGCGAAAACTGAAGCTTGTAAATTATGATTTAATATTGTTTAACACATGAGCCCATATATAAGCTGAACTTATAGTAATTTGTACCTAGAGGTAATTCCGTCGGGAACTCCTACCCATATATAAGCTATAGATTTAAAAACGATTGTTACTTTAAACCGATAATACGCAATAAAAGTAATTTTAAACTTAAAAAAATACAAAAAATTCTATCAAAACAACAAAAAATCTTCATTATTAAAAATAATAATAATTATCGTGTTACATATATATAATTACTTACTTCAAGTTGTAAATTACTCCATAGCTTAATGCTTATTCATTATTATAAATTGAAATAAATAAATAAATAAAATATAAAAGAAATTCTAATTAATCATTTTTGATGTAAATTACTCGGGAAAATGAAAAGTAGATTTTTAAATTTGTTCAATCGGGCACGAGATGTAAACGTTTTATGTATTTAGAACGCCAGAGGGCGCTACCTTATCCAAAATGGTGGATGGTGTTTAAGAAAAATTGGCGACAATAACAAAATAACAATTCAATGTTAAAAGTAGTGTAGAAAGAATATGTAAGTACGAATAATTTAAATAAATACACTCGTTCGGTTATATCTACGCTTTTTAACTCTTTTAATACTTATAATACGACATTTTTTTTATGTTATTAAACGGCGAAATGAAAAGTCCAATCAAACGTATCACAACTTGTTTATTTCTAATTAGTTTAACGTTGTTTCAACGTAAATATTTATAATAAAATGTACGTTTTTAGTTAAATATGGCGAATTAAATACCTTTATGACTCGTAATGCTTCTATTTATTGCACAGGAATATATTAAAATCAATTTCTTCGATTTATTTTTAAACATATTAAACATATGTACATTCATTTATACGATTAATTTCTAATTAAACTGGTAAATCTTAATCACTTTTATCAAAATATATTATAAAACATGAATTTTAGCTTTTGTTGATTCATTTCATTTATTTTTTATTCTTTATAACACTTATAAATAATTAAAATGTTTTGAAATAGTTTCTATTTAGGGTTATTTCGATATGTAACGGATGAGATATTTGAGTCATTAAACTTTACTTAGTTTAGGTTTATTGATGTTGGTACTTGAGAGTTCCTATATAGATTTTTATCTTAATATCTGTGACTATTTATATTTCATTAATTTGTCAAGGAAAATATACTTTGAAATAAAATATTTATAATTTATAATATATTTTTTGATAAGTGATATATAAATATTTTGGTATATATATATATATATCAGTGGTTTCTCCAGAAGTTTTTAATAACTGAGTAGAATGTAGTAATAGTCAGGTGTGGACTAAACAAATATTGCATGATATAAAAGTTTCTTGTTATAGTACTTGTAAATACATCCCAACTGTTCTGTGCAAACAGACTATATTGTATACTAGCTTACCCGTCGCGCATTGCTGTGATCTCAGAAGAAAGGAAATTCAAGCAAACTCATTATGATAAAATTTAATTTACATTTTATCATTTTTATTGAAACTTATTATTATTATTGATTCTCATCGGGAAAACATTTCAAAGTGTCGTTTCAATTCTATTTATTTATTGGAGTGCTTGTGGATACACGATATTTTTTGTTTTTCCGTCTGGTGCGTACACGAATAAATCGGAAGATTTTCCGACGCGTGAGCCGGCCACATACAGTTGTCCATGCGAGAAGCACGGATTCTCCAAATTTAGCCCATACACTTGCAGCGATTGTCAGAAGCGCGATATTTCCCAATTTTATATATATATTTTTTAATCCTTTATAATTTTAATTATTTAATTGCTCCTTCCTCTCTTCCTTGGCACGTTGTGAAATTTCTGATAGTTGGATAATAAACCGTTTTATTGTAATTTGTCTTTTTAAATTATTTTGAATCGATATTAAAATTTGGAAAAGGGGGGATACCTAGATCGGTAAAATACGCGAATTTCTTCCTACAACTTCGGTTGTTGTTCGGGGTACAGTTAAGGTTCTAACGAAGTTCGAGCGAATACATAATTAGCAAAAAAAGTTGAAATAAAGTGATTAAACAAAAATTATTACAAATATCGTAAATAACAGTTCACAAATGCATATATAGAGATATTTTTTGAAGGGGGAAATGGTCTTCACAATTTGAAATCGATCGAACACACTGTGCGGGAATGCTCATGTAAACGCACGCCATCTATCGTAGGATAAATGTACTTCGCGGGAGTGTATTAAAAAATTAAAAAACTATCCAAAGCTTCATGGCAATCGTACTATGCCACAAACCTTCACTGGAGTATATTAAACAACTTCCCAAAGTTTCACGGCAATCGAATAAACGGTGTGGTAATGCATGAAGGACACACACACACACATTCATTTTTATATATATAGATAATCGGTTTCTGAAATTTGGTGTTATCTTATGATCATCAGACAGTTTTCTACTCTGTTCTATTCATGCATATTTCTTCCTTGTGTTTCTCTCCATTATTTGTGTACAGTGTCTTCCTCTTCTTTTATGGTTTTTGTTAAGTGGCTAACCGTGGCAGTTTGTATTTTGTAATTCTTTTCACGCTGTTGTACTGTATTAACTGCCTTCTTTTTATTTAATCAATAGGTGATTCCATTATTTTTATCATTTTTCATTTTCATTCTTTATTTTGCCCATGCATAATATTTTGATGATCTTGTCAGTGAATCCATTTCTATTACACTTAGCCTTCCTTCATCTATTTCTGATTTTTACCATATTTTATAAATAATCCAAATACACGCTTACATTAAAACTTATTTGAAAGAGATTGTGCTAAAGTTAATTCACCACATACGTTAGTTTCTGCAGTTGCTAACTGATGATTTAGTTGTTAGTTTGATATCCATGTTTTCACTATCATATTTATTACCAGTAGTGTAACTAGTTCTGATGTAAAGGTGGATTCAAGCTAAAATTTAATATGAATTATTACACATTTTAATAAATTTTTGCTTTTAATACACTTAAATACAGATATTATATATATACAGTCGATCCCCTTATAAGATCATTGATTTTTCCATTTTATCTGAATTACATGTTGTACGAGTCACTTAGATTTTACAAATATGTGAGCCGTTCACAGCCCGGCACACGTATTTGTAAAATCTAAGTGACTCGTACAACATGTAATTCAGATAAAACGGAAAAATCAATGATCTTATAGGGGGGTCGACTGTATATAAATTACTAAGTCAGTATTTAACTCCACAATTAATTAAAATGTTAAAGATAAATGGATAAAATGGGTAAATAATTTAACTTTTTCATTACAAAAGGGGTTCATACCCATTGGGCCTTTTTCTGGTTACTCCACTGGTTATCACTTTTGTTTTCCTTAACTTGGTAACAGACATGTCTTTTAATGTTGCACGATCAGACACATCCTGCGTTTCATGCACCTTTGTTACTTTTTCATTGTTTTGGTTGTTACTTAGACAATTATCAGTATTTATTTTTATTAAAAAACAAAATTTTACATTTAATTTAATTTTTAAAATGAACAAAAGTAGAAACTAAATTAAAGAAACAATAAATTATAAAAACAGAGTAATTTTTTTATTTGCTTTCTGATACTGCAAAGCTAGGATTATTACTAAGGGCCAGATTTATATGCATTTAAAATCATAATATTTACACATACAATACATGTAAGAATGTTAATTATATACATATTATGAGGCTTGAAATATGCATTGCAAGTGTTAAAAGCACCAGTACAATTTGTAGGTTGGAATGCATACATACATTACTTCTGTCTGCAAGCAAATCTTACTAACATCTATTAAGTTACACTTTTTAGGTGGGAGGGGATAAACATGAAGAATAGCTGACATGAAGGATTTGAAAATTATGACATTACAAAACACGTATTGGATTAATGTTTCATGTAAAAGATATGCAATTGAGTCAATTATGAATAAAAAATTAAACATTCAATAAAATTTTCTAATTAACCATTATTGAATTTATTTCTACATATAGTATACAACTGTTTTCAAGGCGTTTGAGGATGACTATGTTAATCTAGTTTTCCTTGTCTTGTAGTTATGTTACTGGTCTAAAGTAATCATATATTTTTTGTTGCACTTTGTGAATGGTGAGAAATGACTAAATGCTCTTATTGAGTTATTAACTAATTATAGATTTTATGTTGAAGTTAATAGTAATGTTTTGTTCCCAACTGTTAACATGAAATGTTAGTAAAGTTAGTTTCAGTACAACTAGAACATACTTGTAATCAGTTGTTGTTTTGGCTTGTTTTGACACTTGAGCTTAGTTCACACTGAGGAATAAACTACACTGATATAAATCCAGCAAAATTTAATAAAATAAAAACGTTTTCAATCATTTTTCAACGATCATTCTCTGTTACCAAAAATAGAATATTAAATATAGAACATAAAATGCGTTTGAAATAAATACAAAAAACAAAAATTAAGGAAAACGCCCTAGCGGACGCCCTAATGAAAAATTAACAAATAAATCAAATAAATGGTGTATAATTAATAATTGTAAAAGGATCTCCACGCAGTAGACAATGAGTCTGCGTCTCTATGGTTTATACAACCGGTTTTCATGTGCGCTTTATAGATTTCCAATCTCTCCAGATGTTTGATCGTTTGCCTATTAGTTGTCGTTTTTATAATTGCTGCTTGATCCCATTGCACGTTAATATCTTGTTGCTTTGCGTATGATGCCAACACAGTGTTATCAAGGTTCCTATCGATCGTATATGCTGCTTTCAACCCGTTATCATCCCATACCAGTCAGTCGATCCCAAGCATATCAAATTGGCGGTTTTCAGATCATGGATTAAACGTGCTTATACGCATTGTACAAGTTTCTGCGACACGATAAGAGAGCTAAAGTACATTATTAAGATAGCCCAACTACACGGATATCCAAAGGAAGAGATAGAGGATCTTATTTCATCCTTCCAATCCACTGCACGACATTCTCCCAGGTTGACTGTAATAAAAGAATAGTGCTTAATTACATCCCATTTTTGAACAAGATACACAGATCTACTGCCAGGTCTAATAACTTTCACATTGTATACTGGCGCAATCCCACTATTTTCAAACTTTTAAGAAATGATAAAAAGAAGGAGAATCAGAATTCAACGATGGGTATATATTCGGTGCCTTTACATGACCAATGATTCGATTCCAGGCTAGTTTATGTGGGTGCGACGATGCGCGGTTTAAAGCAAAGTCTCAAGGAACACAAATATACGATCGATAGGAACCTTGAAAACACTGTGTTGGCATCATATGCAAAGCAACAAGATATTAAAGTGCAATGGGATCAAGCAGCAATTATAAAAACGATGACTAATAGGCAAACAATCAAACATCTGGAGAGATTGGAAATCTATAAAGCGCACATGAGAAACGGTTGTATAAACCATAGAGATGCAGACTCATTGTCTACTGCATGGAGGTCCTTTTACAATTACAGAAGAGTCTGGAAAACTCTGCCTAATGTGGACCGAAGGGTGGCCGAGTTTGTGAA